GGAAGGTTCTGGAGGTCTCCGTAGGCATGTGAAAAAAGGCAACACGTACCTCGCTCCTCGGTCTTCGACTCTCCTCTTCTTGCTTCTTGATCCTCCTCCGCCCCCTTCTCCTCCTCCTCGTTATTCCTGCTCCTCCTGCTGCTGCTCCTCCTGCTGCTGCTCCTCATGCTCCTCTTCCTCCTTCCTCTTTTCTCCCATTCTCCCATTCCTCCTTCTCCTCCTGTTGATCTGCTGATGCTGGCACGCAGGTCTCCTGAAGTTGCCTCTCCTCCTCCTCCTCCTCCTCCTCCTCCTCCTCCTCTTCCTCCTCCTCCTCCTCCTCCTTTCCTACTCCTCCTCCTCCTCCCCCTCCTCCTCCTCCTCCTCCTCCTGCTCGTTCCCCCCCAATTTCAGCCCTGCTGGCCGCTGTAGTTCTCAGCCCTGTGCAAGCTTCTTGGTTCTGGGAGATAGGTGCCGCAGCACCTGATATGCCGACTGGTTTTCTCCGGCATGCTGTTTGGGTCTTGCGACAAATGCTGCAGGCCTCGGACAAATAGCGAACACGCATGCCACATTTGTTCGGTGAACGCCTCCCCCTTTCCCCAATGTTCAAAGTTGGGCGGTGGGTCTGATGAGTTGCACTTCGACCGCAGTCTCCCCCGCGCGTGCCAACCTTGAATTTGGGGGAGCGGGGGAGTGTCCACTAATTGTTTCCCCCTGCCGTACCTGTAAGGGGATCGAGCTGCTTTAGGAGCGTGGATACAGCAATGCCAGTGGGAGGAAGTCTTCGGCAATACTAAATTTGTCCACGTACAGGCCTTGCTGGCCTTCGCTTAGCCCTCTGCGAGCTTCTGGTCTCTTACGGGTTGTCCTGGCCACTGGTATCAGCCCTGTGCAGGCTGCTTGGCTGTGATGGGCCCTTCTGGCCAATGTCTATGGGGCCTGCGGTCCATTGGTATCAACCTTGTGCAAACATCTTTTGGTTAAGATGGGCCCTTCCAGCCATGGGTATCAACTTGTGCAGTGTGCCGGTTTCTATTGGTCGCATCGCCACACCATGTGTGCACGCACTGTGCAGGCACGTTTTTTTGTTTTTGTTTTTGTTATTCATTTTCTCTCGAGAGGTGGGATTGACTTGCCGTGACGCAGTGGATGGTGCTTCCTGTCTCTCGGTGGCGAGCCGGGGGGGGGAGTGAGAAGTGTAATCGACTACACGTAATTGTGCCCCTTCGCTAGAGTGACCTTTGGTGCTGGCCCCAAGGGGGTCGGCTGATTTTTCTCTTGGAATGAGCTTGACCTCGCGTCGGCACCCGTATCGCGTGATTGCGCTCGTAGCTGAGCGCGCCAGACTTGGGCCCCGCCCCTTGCAATCGACAGCAATGCATACGTGGCGCACCATGCAATGTACATTGGTGTACGTGGTCGACCGGACGGCGCGTTTTCCGCCCCAGAACCAATCCCGAATCCCAATCCAAATCCCAAATCGTCCGTTTTGACTCTCTTTGGATATCTTTGAATGTCCTTGATTATGTTTGAGTATGTTTGAACATCTTGCTTGGAACTAATGGGGGCCTCGATTATTGCAAGCTATCCCAAACTATTCAAACATATTTCAGGCCCGCTGATGGGGCCGGTTTTGGCCATGACGCCGGATCTGGTCAGACGTCATCGCGATGCGGCCCGGCAATGCCAAACTTCATCGTGGCCCCGGCAACGTCTCCTTTCGCAGCGCCCTCGAGGTGCCCTTCGGGGCGTTCGAATCCAATTGCCGGAATTCCGCGGTTGCCCACTGGCGCAAAACATCTTTCGAGTGGCGCCCCGCCGATCGTTGCTGCGGCGCGGCAGCATTGGCTTGCGCGGTTGCGTTGGGCTCCCGCGGGCCCCCCCCCGAAGCCGCGCACGGACATCCCCGGCCTTCTGAGAGGTTTTCGAAGCCTCCCCCGAAGGCGCAGAAAACTGAGAAGCCCCGCCGACTTCTCAGAGGGCCTTCTCCTCCCCACTTGCCCCCCTCGCTCACCGCCGATTCACGACACCCGACGTCATGATTTTTTCATGACGTCGACCCCCCGAGGTCTCGACCCATTCCCCGGGACCGGCTTTTCGTCCCGAGTCGTTTTTTGACGGTCCCGAGGGCCGGTGAGGGCCCCCAGAGGCCAGAAGTTGTGAAAAACCTCCCGTCGTGATTTTTTCATAACTCGAGGGGGTCTGGGTCGTTCGGCGTCGAGATGCCGAGCACACGAAATCCCTGGGCGTCGTCTTCGCCCTTCGACTGGTTCGGGAGGGCGCCCCGGGGCCCCGTAGCCCGACGGCGCTGCGGGGCCGCCCCGCCCCGAGATGGGCGGGGCGCCGCCCGAGGCTATAGATCGCCGCATGGGCGCTCGTCACTCCCTCACTCGCCCTCCTTCTCCCTCCCGCGTGCTCCTGCCTCCAGCTCCTCCTCTTCCTCCCTCGCCTCCTCCTCCTCCTCCTCCTCCTCCTCCTCCTCCTCCTCCTCCTCGTTCCTCGTTCCTCGTTCCTCGTTCCTCGTTCCTCTTTCCTCCTCCTCCTCCTCCTCCTCCGGGTCTGCCCGGTTGCTCCCGTGTCCCCCCCCCGCCCCCCCAGGGTGACACAGCCGACCGCGGCGCTGTCGCCGTCGTCCCCGCTCTGCTGCACCCCCGCGACACGCAGGCCCGAGGGCTTGTAGAACACGCGGTACCGAGGAGGATCGCGGAGGAGGAGGAGGAGAGATACAGTCGGACCTGGGCCAGAAGAGCAACCCTCAAGAACATGAGACCCTCCGTCGGCCAAAACACACAGAACATCCAAGGGTACCCTCCCAAGTATGCACAAGAACATCCAACAGGTACGCAAAACGTTAGGGTACCCTCCCCGAACCGACCTCATCCTTATACCTCGGTCCGACTGTATCGGGGAGGAGGCAGAGGGATCGATGAGGAGGAATGGGAGGGGGAGGGGGATCGACGAGGGAGGCGGGGAGGGGGGGATCGAGATCGAGGAGGATGGGGGGGGGGATCGGGGAGGAGGGGGGTCGAGGAGGAAGAGAAGGCCAGAGGGGAGGAGGAAGAGAAGGAGGAACGTCGCCGTCGTCGCCACGGCTGGACGCAGCTGGATCACCTGGCCAATGTGGATTCCAGGAGAGGTCTGGGGCCAGATCTTGAGCGGATGGTGAGGGCGCGCACAAGGGGGTATGGGGGAGGGGGGAGGTCTTCTTAGCAGGAGGCCCCTTCTCAGAAGGCGTCAGCCCTACATCTAGAGAGACGGCCCGCGCCTTCTGAGAAGCATTCTCCTTCTAAGACACCGTTACCCTCTCCCTCTGAGATCTGACGTTGCGAGAATTGCAACCGTATGAAACATCCCGAGTGGAGCCCCGGACCCCATCTGCCTGCGTCATTTTGCGAGCCGGATCGATCTGTGCAGGTCCCGGGGCCCGGAGCCGGGCGAAGGCGCCCCGTTGTGAAAAGCCAGCAACGCCAGGGTCTGAGGGCACCCGCCTGCGCGTGGCCGAGGGGGTGGCAAGAGCGACGAGCGAGCTGTTTGTGGGCGCTTCTGGTCCTCGTCGGGCCTGCGGAGGCCGCCGGGAGCCTCCCGGGATCTGCATTTAGATCGGGCATGTCCGCCTAGAGGCGGGTTTTGGAAGAAGCGTATAAAGTAAGCAAACCAAAACAGAGTCAGGAGAGCACGCGCAATCGCCCCCTGATCATGTCCTAACTCTTCTAGCGCCTTCCTCCTCTCGAGGGACACGCCCGACTTAAGCCTACATTTCGGTCGCGCATCGCCCCCCCACAGGCGGATTTTGGACGACAAATAAAAACATACCCAACAAATACCTCCAAATGGTCAAGCATAGTCCAAAATTTGTCTCCAGACTACTGGTTGACTTTTTTGAACCTTCCTCCTCTAGAGGGACACGCCCGACTTAAACCTACATTTAGGTCGGGCATGTCCCCCTACACTCGGATTTAGGACGACAGCTAAGAAACATACCCCCAAAAAAATCTCCAAATGGTCAAACATAGTCAACAAAATGTCTCCAGACTACTCTTGACCGTTCTTGAATCTTCCTCCTCTAGAGGGACACGCCCGACTTCAAACTACATGTAGAGCGCATTGCTTTTGGACGCTCCTGGGCCTTGCCGGGCCTCTGGAGGCCACCGGGAGCTTCCCAATGAGGCCCCGACGGGGGAGAGCATAGGGCCGCGATGCCACGACTCCCTCGGAGCGTGGACCCAAGAGGGCCTCGAGAGGCCTCATCGTCCTCCTTGTCCTCCTCTTCCTGCTCCTCCTCCTCCCTCCTCCTCCTCCTCCTCGTTCCTCCTCATTACTCCTGCTTCCTTCTGCTCCTCCAGCTCCTCCTCCTCCTCCTGCTCGTCCTCCTCCTCCTCCTCCTCTTCCTCCTCCTCGTTCCTCCTCGTTCCTCCTCGTTCCTCCTCGTTCCTCCTGCTCCTCCTAGTCCTCCTCCTCCTCCTCGTCCTCTTTCTCCTCCCTCTCCTCCTCCTTGCCCTTCCTCTCACGATCAATCAAGAACGCCGTGTCTGCACGACATCGGCTGAAGAAGTGCCCGCCGGCTGGAGGCGCAGGTTCAGGCCAGTGCACAGTAACCAAGGGCAGCTCAAGCAACAGCGTACCTTCTGGCGACCCACCCCCAGGGACTAGCTTTTCGTCCTGCAAACAACCTCCAGCCATGTCCAGGCAGAAGCGTACCTTCTGGCGACCCATCTCCAGGGACTGGCGTTTCGCCCCGCGTCATTCCTGGCCGGCCCCGAGGCCCGCCGAGGACCCCCCGATGCCGAACACGGCGAACAACCCCCCGTCATGATCCTCTCATGTCGGGTCGGGCGAAAGGGGGGGATAGCAAAGGGGGGGGTTGAAAATCAGCTCACGTAGCTGATTTTCCCGGCGCCTCCCGGCGCCGGAGGCGGCTATGTATCGAGGAATGGGCCCCTCGGCGAGGCCGAAACCAGCTGCATCCAGCAAATTTCGTACCCCCCCCTTTCCCAATCCCCCCCTTTCGCCCGGCCCGATCATGGCCAGGGCGGGTGCCCGTGCTCGCTGGTGCCGGTAGGGGTGAACACGAGGTGCCCGGCCTCCTCGGAGTCCTCCCGGGCCGCCCGGAAGCGGAAGTCCAGGTGCTGCTGCCCGCTCCCCTGCTGCAGCTGGCCGACGAGCTGGCCGTGCGCGTCGCGGAGCTCCAGGTGCTGGTTCACGGTGGCCAGCACTCCGCCAGAGCCTCACGGGGCGGACGAACCCAGAAACCCAGACCCCTCGAGTAATGAAAAAACCATGACGGGAGGTTTTTCCTAATTTTCGGCCTCCTGGGGCCCTCACCGGGCCTCGGGAGCGTCAAAAAACGACTCAGGATGACAAACCGGTCCTGGGGAAGGGGTCGAGAACTCTGGGGTCGACGTAATGAAAAATTCATTACGTCGGGGTTCTGGGAACATCCGGCGGGCTGCTTTTCTCTAGCCCCCTGGTCTCGCGCCTGCTCTGCAGCCGCACCCACCCTCGAGGCCCCAGTGAGGCGTGGCGACCCCTGTGGTTCGCCGGTTCTCCCGAAGACGAGATCCAAAGGTCCTGGCATCCACGACGGCATTGTGCCCGCCGCCCACCCGATGACTACTGCGCCTCTCCGTGGCACCCGGCGCTGCCCCCCTCGGCAGCATGCGCTGACCCACGACCTGCTAGCACGCTGGCTCCCAGTGCCTGAGGCTGCCTGTGCGCTCGCTGGTGCGAGAATCTCTGCGTCTCAGGCCTCCGCCCTGCTTTCCTTGGGTCGGGCATGTCCCCCTGCAAACGGATGTTGGACGACAAATCAAACACCATCGAACAATACTCGACAAATGCTCAAGCATAGTCGACAAATCCTCCCCAGACTATTTTTGGACTACTTTGAAAACTATCCCCCCTGTAGAGGGGGACAGGCCCGACGTCATGCTTTCCTCCTCTGCCGCCGCCCTCTTCGCTTTCCGCCTGTCTCGACACGCTCACTGCCCAGCACGCGGCCCGCCGGCTCTTCGAACGCGCTCGCGGCCGCTGGCGCCGCGGTGTCTCTGAGGGTCCTACACATTAGTGCTTCTGCGAAGACGAGTGCGGGGATCGCCACACTTGGCATCGGTACAACGCCATTGTCTTCCGCTGCCTCCCATTGTCTCCCCTTGTCTCCCGCGGTCTTCAACTGCTTCTCGATGTCTCTCCCACTGTCTCCCGATGTCTCCCGCTGTCTCGCGCTGCTGTCTCCCGCTGTGTCGCCCGTTGTGTCGCCCGTTGCCTCCCCTTGTCGCCCGTGGCCTCCCGTGGTCTCCCGTGGTCCCTCTGCGCCGCTCCAGGAGCCTCCGTCTGTGCCCCCCCACCCCCCCCTCTCCGCCGCAGTGTGCACCTGGTTTGGGCCCCCTGCCGCGGGGGTGTGCTCTTGTCCAGCCCCGGCGTGCTTCTTGACTTGTGGCCTCTGGGGACAATCGATCGAGCCCCGACGCCGGCTGCCTGGAACCGTCAGTATCGAGTCGGGAAGTCAGATCGAATCGGAACGACCATCGGACCAAGACTGAATCGGCTCGGAACCAAGACTGAATCGGGTCGGCTGCGCCCAGATGCTCAACTGCGCCGTGCCAGCCTCGGACCGCATCGGATCGCCAGGAAATCGAGATTCACACCAGATCGAACCCGGTGAACTCGACATCGGATCGGCTCGATCAAATCGAGATGGACCCTGGTTGCACGCAGCCGATTGGGACTCCCCGAGAGATACGACGCCTTGATTCCCAACCATCCTGTGGTGTTGGGACCTCGTTTTGAAGAGACAGCGCCCCGCGTTCCTCCTCCTCCCATCCCTGCCTCTGCCCTCTGCATGTCTGTGTTTCGGCACATCCAGTGCAACGCTTCGTGGCCCCGTAGAGCTCCACCGAAGGCCCCAGCAGCAGAGTCCACATGGCGGCGCCGTCCGATTTTTGGCGGACCCTCACACGGTTCGTAGCCCCACAGGGATCGTAGCCGAAGGCCCCAATAGCAGGGTCCAGATGGCGGCGCCGTCCCATTGTGACGCACCCTTCACACGGTTCGTGGCCCACTGAGGAGCTCCACCGAAGGCCCCAGCGGCAGGGTCCACATGGCGGCGCCACCCCGTTTTGGCGCCCCCCTCACAAGGTTCGTGGCCCAATTCGGAGACCAGCCGAAGGCCCCAGTCGCAGGGTCCCCATTTTGGCGCCCCCTTCACACAGTTCGTGACCCCATAGGTATCTCAGCCGAAGGCCCCAGTGGCAAGGTCCACGTGACAGCGCCGTCCCATTTTGGATCACCCCTCCCACGGCTCGTGGCCCTATAGGGAGCGCAGCCGAAGCCCCCAGTGGCGGGTTTCGCATGGCGGTTCCGCCCCACTTTGGCGCCCCCCTCACGCGGTTCGTGGCTTGAAAAGGAGCTCCACCAAAAGCGGTGCCCAAACACGGTGCGCACAACTGCATATGGAAGGGCCCTTCGCCAGGATCATTTGTTTTTCACGGTGCTCTGGAAGTCCCAACCCTTTCACCAGGGCTGGCCTTCCATCCTGAACTGTTTTTTGGCGGTCCTGGGGCCCGGCGAGGGCCCCCGGAGTCCAAACACTTTTTTATGTTGCTGCTGGTGTTTCTTTTGTGTTTGTGTGTTTGTGTGTTTGTGTTTGTGCTTAGCTTCGACCGGAAGAGGTGCGCTCTCGACCCGCGAATCAAAAAGTGTTTGTGTTTGTGTGTGTGCGTGTGTGTGTGTGTGTGTGTGTGTGTGTGTGCGTGTGTGCTTCAATACGTTGGACCCTGACATCCGCCGATCTGACTTTTCCAATCCGCGGCCCCAAAGTTCCCGACCCCGCCCCTTGGGGGCAGCTTTTCGCGCCAGATCCGTTTCTCATGGCCCCAGGGCCCGACAGCAGGCCCTGGAATCCGAAACCGACGGACACCGACGGAATTGAAAACATAACGTTGCCGTCGGAGACCTCGGGATGTCAGGGCCCCCCCCGGCCAGGTCCCTCACCTCGTCCGTCCGCCCTGGGCTAGAGAAGGGGCCGACCTTCCCGGTGTTCCTACAGGCCTACCACGACGTTATCACATAACACGAAGATGTTCGAATATCCTCATCGCAAAAACAAGCCAATGTTCTTAAACATTCCCTCGTAGCAATCCGCTGGAAAAATGTCCCAATAAACAATGACAACATAATAGTTCCGCAGGGGGAATGGTCCGCCCAGCGGTGGCAGCTGTTTCGCCTGAGACTTCCTCCCAATTTATTCAGGAAGCGTGCTCTCGCCTCAATGCAGGCTGCATTTTCGGTCCTGACGGCCGCGATCCCGGATACATACATCGGCGACGTCGGCGTGGAGAACCTACATCGAGCCGCGTCGCCGATGCATCGGCGATGCGGAGCGGTCCTCCGATCCCATCTACTCGGACCCCACCCGGGAGGCCTAGAACTTGTTGGGGGCTTCCGAGGGCCTCCCCACTCCTGGGCCGGCATCGAGGAATAACGCCACGATGTCACAAAACCATGCCGTCGGAACTCGACTAATCGGACCCCACCTGGGAGGCCTACGCGCATGTCAGAAGCAGGTAGACACATGCAGTAGGAAGGCGGATCAAGTAGATTGGATTCGGGCCCGCCCAAAGAATAACAAGCAACAACCAAAGCAGATCGATCCTTGAAGCAGGAAGGCGCTCGAAGCAGATTGGGCCCTGGGGATCAAAACCTACCTACTTTCAACGACGGGCGTGTAAACGCGGCAGGTGGGCCAGGGCGCCCCAGACATGCGACGTCCTGATTTTGTTCTACACGGGGTCCCTGGAAATCCCGACTCCTTCCCCAGGACCGGTTTTTCATCCTGCGCCGTTTTCTGACGCTCCCGAGGCCCGGCGAGGGCCCCCCGAGGCCGGAACTGGCCGAAAGCCTCCCGCCCTGACTTCTTTACTGTGTGACGCGATCATGCCAGGCGTGCAGGCGCGGCAGGCGGGCCAGGGCGCTTCGTCGCTGCTCCGTGGGCCTCGGTGGTGGTGCTTGTCGTCGATGGCCTCGACCTTCGGAGGTCTTCTGACCCGGGTCAATCCAGACCCGGGTCAGCGGGAAACCAAAAACTGCAATGCAAGGAAACAAAAACTGCAACGCAGATCTTCGCAAACCCGGGTCAGCCAATATGCGCGGCCGCCTCGCGGCCACGAGCGGCTCGCTAACCCGGGTCAGCCAGAGGGGGTCTTCGCAGGATCCTGCAGGATCGAAGGATTGCAACAAAAACCTTAGGTTTTTTTGGCAATCCTTCGTTTTTTTTGCAATCCTTCGCAGGATCCTGCAGGATCGAAGGGTTTTTGTTGCAATCCTTCGGTTTTTTGCAATCCTTGGTGCCCTGGCTGACCCCCATTTGCACTGACCCCCGTCTTCTCCTCCTCCTCCTCCTCCTCCTCCTGCCTCCTCCTCCTCCTCCTGCCCCTCCTCCTCCTCCTCTGCCTCCTCCTCCTCCTCCTCCTCCTCCTCCTCCTCCTCCTCCTCCTCGACGTGGGCGCGCGCAGCTCCGAGGCAGATGGTGCCCTGGCTGAACCCCCGCTTGCACTGACCCCCGTCTCGAGGCTCCTGCAGGATCTGAAGGAGGAGGGAGGAGGGAGGAGGGAGGAGGGAGGAGGAGGAGGAGGGAGGAGGGAGGAGGGAGGAGGGAGGAGGGAGGAGGAGGAGGAGGAGGAGGAGGAGGAGGAGGAGGAGGGAGGAGGAGGGAGGAAGGAGGAGGAGGAGGAGGAGGAGGAGGAGGAGGAGGAGGAGGAGGAGGAGGAGGAGGAGGAGGAGGAGGAGGAGGAGGAGAAGGATGGTGCCCTGGCTGACCCCCGCTTGCACTGACCCCCGTCTCGAGGCTCCCGGAGACCTGCAGGTGCCGCGCGCGCCCGGCCTCCCGCAGCCGGGCCACGAGGAGCGGCGCCCGGGCGCGGCTCTTCACGTCGACGGTTGGGCGTGGCTTAATGGGGGGGTCAGAAGAGGTCCCCTTTCGTGCCCCTCTCGGGCCCCTCCAGAGCCCCAGGGGGGGCTCGTTGAGGTACCGTTTGGGTGCCCTTTCGAGCCACCCTCGCCACCCCCCCATTATGTGACCCCCCCATTACGCGGCGCCCAAGACGGCCCAGGTGCCGCGCGCCCGGAACGGCCAGCTCGGCAGCAGCAGCGGGTAGTCGTTCTGCCGCATCCTCTGCTCGGCGGCGGGCGGGGGGCCCGGCCAGGAGCGCGCGCCGCAGGCAGAGAAGGGCGGGAGGCGTGTGTGGCCCTCTTCGGCCTCGGGGGGCCCTCGCGGGGCCTCGGGGCCGTCACACAGCGACTCGGGCGGACAAACCGGCCCTGGGGAAGGGGTCGGAACTTCCGGGGACCCCGTATTGAACATCTTCGCGACATCGCATGTCTCGGGGGGGAGAAGGGCGACGGGGGTTCCGAGAAGATTTTTGTCGAGCCTTCCCCGAAGGCACGGAGAGGACTTCTCAGGAGGGGTGCGAGGCGCGAGGGCTTCTGAGGAGTCCCGCCGCCTTCAGAGAAGGCTTTCTCCTTCTCAATTCCTTGGGCGCCCGAGTTATCCGGGGTAACTCGGGTCCGGGGTAACTCGGGTTTGGATTCCCGAAAAACGAACCCGAGTTAGCCCTGACCCGAGTTACCCCTGATGATTTTGGGGCTCTGGACGCCCGAATTATCCGGGGTAACTCGGGTCCGGGATAAATCGGGTTCGGAATCCGGAAAAACGAACCCGAGTTATCCCTGACCCGAGTTACCCCTGATGATTCGGGGCTCTGAATTCCCCTCCTCGCTTGCCGCCGAATTGTGCGCAGAACTCCAGCGGCATTATTGTCCCCCAAAGCCTGCTGTAGCATAGAAGGGGGTTCTTGCCTTTGCACTCGGCGAGGACATCGGATACGGGACCAATGGACAAGGAATCCAGGGTCTGGAAACTGGTAGAAAATGAAATGAGGCTTGGCCATGGGTACCGCTGTCGCCCTCATCAGATAAGGCATCCCCAATGGTCTGAAGCCTGTTGGGCATATTCCTTAACGAACGCCGCCATAGTAATTATAACGTGTTCCGAGAGCTCTGCCGCCTTTGCTGATGCAGTTGCTGCTGATATTGCCATTGCTTGTCATGAGGTTGCTATGTTGCCATGTTTCATGCTGTCGATACTTCTGTCAATCGTATTGGTGGTCCACGTTGGGCACTTTCAGTCCCTGCGCTTCTCCTCGATCTCAGCTTCTCGGGCCCTTTGTCGGGCCCCAGGACCACCAGAAGAAGGAACCTGGGCGAGAAACTGGCAACGGTGAAGCGGTCGGGGACTCTGAGGCCGCGTGTTGAACAAACATCGGATTGGCGGATACCAAGGCAGAAACACAACGAATCGGCACAAACGGAAACTTTCGGAGGTCCGGGATTTCGTGGGTTGGCGTTAGAAGCGCCCCCTGACGGAGCCTCCAGCGCCGCCCCTGGCGCGTTCCGCGCGCCAAGTAAGGGGGTTACAGCTCCGATCCAAGAAACCCGCGCGGGTACCGACAATTCATGGTTTTTCTTTCTGCTCCGACTCCTGATCGACGACATCGCGAACCGCTTCATCTCCGCGTACTCATTCGCCCCCCGTTCCGGCACGAGGTCGCGGAGCCACTGCGACGGGCTCCTGTGAGGGGAACGTCAGGGGGGGACCGACTCAGTGGGGGAATCATCGAGCTGGAATCGGCGATACATCGCTGGCTGATCGGCGACAGCCCCCCGCCAGCGCGTCCGCACGCTCCCGGGCTGGACGGACGATCGGGCCCCTCTCGGCGATGAGCGGGCGACACGGGGGGTGGATGCGTTCCCGCCCGAGCCTGTCCCCCGTCGCCCCTGCTCCTCCAGCTCTGGCTCTGCGCGAAGACCTGCTCCGCGATGGACAGCTCCTTCTGGCCTCCGCGCCGCGCCTGGACGGCGAGGGCCCCCTCGTCCGCCGAGAACTGCGCCACCCCACCCACCGTGGCCGCGAGCAGCAGCACGACGAGCACCGCAAACACCACCATGAGCCCGTCCAGCTGGTCGATGGCCACCGCTGCGCCCGCGCCGTGGCCGCCGCGGCCGCCTGCGGCGGCGGCGGCTGCGGCCGCCGTGCCGACCATCGTGGCGGCCGTGCCGCCGCCCGCCGCGTCGGCGCGGCCCTGCAGCGCCGACACGGCGGTCTCCTCGGCGGAGGCGGCTGCCGGCGGCCCGCCCTCGTCGTGGCCGCCGCGGCCGCTCCCGGCGGAGGCGGCCGCCGCGCTGACGCTCGCGGCGTCCGCGCCGCCGCCCGCCAGCGCCCGCCTCTGCGGCGCCGACGCGGCGGCCCCCTCAGCAGCGGAGTCGGCCGCCGCAGTAGCGGCGGCCACGGCCTCCGCGGCGGGCGCCGGAGGCAGGCCAGCCGCCGCGGCCGCCGGGCCTCCAGCGGAGCGGCCCGAGGGAGGCCTCAGCCGCGCCAGCGCGTAGAGGAGCGCGAGCGAGTCGGGCTCGCAGCCGGGGCCGCTGCAGCGCTCGAGGACGGCGTCGGCGGGGCCGGGCCCCGCGGAGGGGGCGGCCCGCCAGCAGCCCGCGCCCGCGGCGGTGCGCGCGAGCCCGCACGCGACCGCCAGCAGGAGGCTCCTCGCGGGAGGCCCCCGGCCGCAGGAGCCAAAAGGAATCCAGAGGCTTTGGCCGCCGATCCTCGGTCTCCAAAGCTTCCCTGAGGCCCCGGCGTCGCCATTCTTGCGCAACGGGCGTTCTCGCCCAGTCTCGGCACGCGGGAGCCCTCGGAGGAGCGGCCCGGCGCGAGGAGTGTGGCAGAGAGATCGGGCCTGTAGAAGGCTCGGGTCGTGATTTTTCGCGGTGCTGCATTCCCCTCGCGAAGGCTGTCAGAATCTGGCCCACCCCGGCCCGTGGCTCGGGCTGCGTCCAGCCGTGGCGACGAGAACCCCCCACAGCCCGCCACGAGCGTTCGAACGAACCAAGGCCAAGACCCCCGCATCGTCCTTTTCTCACAGCGTGGGCCCCCGGAGATCTGGACCCACTCCGCCGGGACCCACTCTGCAGCCCGAGCCGCCTGTTGTAGGCGGCACCGCGGCCTGGTCAGCGGCCCCTCCAGAGGCCGAAGATTGTCAAACAACTTTCTGGCCGTCATCTGCTGGTTCTCAACAGTTTCTCAGGACGCGACGGGGTCCCCTTGACATTCACCGATGTGATCTTTGCAATGCATGGCCTCAGAGGTCCCGATCCCTTCCCCAGGGTAGTTTCTCGCCCCGGATCCACTTTTGATGGCCCCCTGGGCCCGATCACGGGCCCGAGAGGCCGAAATCGAGGAAGAACGCCCCGACCGAAACAAACGCATCGTCGGAGGTCTAAACGTCCCGCGCAAAATCGATCTCTGCACTCCTCTCCTGGTCCGTTCCTGCCAATTTTCGAGCAGCGCCCAGCCGTGGCGACGAGGAACGCCCGCGAGGCCCAAAACAGCTCGAGCATCGACCCTCGAACCCCGACCCAAAAGAAGAACGCCCGGACCGAACAAATGATATCGTCAGACAGCCTCTTCCTCCTCATCTTCCTCCTCTCTCCTCCATCTCCTCTTCTTTTTCGTCCTCCTCCCCTTCTCAAAATAGTTCGAGCATCGACCCTCGAACCTCGACCCACAGGAAGAACGCCCAGACCGAACAAATGATATCGTCGGACAGCCTCTTCCTCCCCTCATCTTTCTTTTCTCTCCTCCTTCTCCTCTTCTTCTTCCTCCTCCTCCCCTCCTCGCCTCCTCCTCCTCTTCCTCCTCCTTCTCCAGATCCAGGGTTTGCGTGCACACTTACTGAACTTGGGTCAGTATGATACTGTACACCGCACTTGTTGATGGAGTCATCTCTCTCCAGTTGCTTCTTGCCTGAACAAGGGCGGGGATGGCGCAGCATCTTCGCCTGTTGGGGTGGAACCCTCAGTCTTGCACTTGTGAGAGACTCGCGGAGGTTGTGGCGGAGACATCCAACTTTGACCTGGTCCTTCTTGCAGGCACGCAGGCGGTAGAGAAGAGGCAACAGAGAGTTCAGTGTTGTGACGAAGCGGCATGTTCTAGGGCAGTGCGTCTTGGAGGCTCCGTTTGGCCCATCTGCTCCTCTTAGCAATTCTTCGGCAGGCTACCCGATATTCTTGGGGAAGGGGTAGCAGGAACGACATGTTATGCAGGTGTGGCTCTCTCCTTCTGAGTTGAAAGATCGCTGGCTGGCAGCGCGTGTGAAGAGAGGCCGCCTTGATCTGTGTGCAGTGTGCTTGTACTTCCACCCGAAATCATCTCGTTTGCAGCACCGCGCGCAGTACTGCCGCACGGTCAAGCTTTTGTGTGCATGGCTCCGTGAAGTGCTGGCGTTTCTTCCTGTGCGCACTACTCCTGTGGCTATTTGCGACGCCAGCGACGGCATTGGTGTGACTGTTGGTGGGAGCCCGATTGAAGCGAAGGTTGTGCAGGTCCCCTCTCAGGAGCGCCTCCGCCGCGGTGCAGGTGAATCCCTTCGTGAAGTTCTGCAGTCACATGAGATGCTGGCATTTAACACGCGGGGCACGCAGGTCATCCCGACCTGCTACGGCATGCATGGCTCGCGGTCTCGCATTGGTTATCTGTTTCTGCCCGTTGGCATGGGGGATCCGATCGTGCAGTGTAGTGTGCTTCGTCGGTTGGGGGCCCGTCTCCAAGCCTATGCTGGCCCCAGTCCTAGGGATCACCTACCTATTGGTTGCACTTTGCTGTATGCCAAACATATGACGGGGCCCTCGGAGGCCCAATAACGTCTGTGCTGGGATCGGGATCGTATGATGAATGCTATGCTGCGTGGCCCTGGGCGAGCTGAGTTTCTTGCTCGTGTTCAACAGAAGCTCGACGCCTTGGGCACCTACGCCCAGTTCGGTCGCCACCAGGTTCGAGACCCTCAGAGGCAGTCAGACTGTGAACAGCGCATGCTTCTCCTCCAGGTGCGGGCAGACTTGCGGGGACCAAAGATTTCTGTATCGGAGGAGGAGGCGCATCGCATTGATGCTGAGCTGAAGCGGATTTCTCAAGAACGGCGGATTCAGCGACGACGGGAACAACGCGCTATCCGTGCACAGCTGGTGGCCGAGGCATGTGAATTGCGCGGCAAGTCTCGACAGTCGGATGCTATGCGTTTGGCAAGGAGAGCGGCACAGACGCGTACTGGACCTAAGAAGAGAGATGGTCTTTTGGTTCGCAGCGCACCCCCTACAGCTCGCGCCTGGTTGGACGTCTGGGAACGCGAAGGAGCAGCAGGCGGCGTGTCTGTTCTTCAGCAGGATTGGGCTGACTGGAGGGAAGAGCGCGATGCTATTTCTCCTGGTTGCCGCAGGGCGATCTATTTGAGATGGCAGAGGCTGATGCGAAGAGAGTGATCCATTGGCTTCGCCACGCTGCCAAGCGCTGAGCTGTCCCCTCGTTCACGGCCCCGCTGGAACTCTGGCATCTGATGTTTATGCCGTGGCGGACGTTCAAACGGCAACGAGGATTAGGTCTCGGATTTGAAGGGCACCGGCCGGCTACAGGAGGTTTCATGTTTTGGTCTCAGTTGGATGTTCCAAGATACGTATGCACACCATTACGCCGCTATACTGGCATCGTACGGACGGTGCTGGACTTCGTAAGTCAGATCAACCTGGTCCTCGTGGCCGCAGGCTAGTTCATGTCATGTCGGCGATAGGCAAGGGGTCCCATGCTACGCTGTTGACGCCGCCGCCGATGGTGAACGATCATGTCTATGATCGACATCGACATCGACGCCGTGAGGGCGCGGTCTTGGGAGCTCTGGTCAAGGTCGTGGCGGCTGCGAGCTCGCGGCTTGACGCGCGCGATGACATGAAAGGATCTGTCCAACGCTTTCGGCAGCTCGTGCAGCTTCAAGCGCGTGAGGAGAATCGAATCCTCTCTGTCAGCAGCAATGACAGAACGCAGTCATTTCCTTGGAGGCACTGGAGGGTCCTCTCATAGTGCGCCCCCGACAGGGGAACACGATGGGGGGCCCATTCGCTGCCCGAGCTTTTTGTGGGGCCTTCGCGCGTCCGATCTTATCGTGGAGGTGCGATGAGCAGTCGGCGGACCCTCGCGCCCCTCCGCTGAAAGCACGAATGCATGAGATGAGAGCTGATCTGAGTGCATTCAAGGTGGCTGAGGACATCAACAGTTTTGCGCTCGCGGAACCAGAGCAGACACTCGCTGATTTCACGGCCAAGATTTCGGATGTGGATGCAAGGGTCCGCCGATGCCTTGCAGAATTTGGGCATGGCCAGACTCCTTCAAAACAAAAGTTTCTGATGTACTTCGCGGAGCGCAGCTACCTGCGCCGCCAGATCCTCCGCCATGGCCTCGCTCTTCCCAGGGCTCCGTGACAGATCATGCGAGGTATCTTGGCCCTTATCTGAGCATGGATGTCTCGGCTCGACCAGAGATCTCCAGGAGGTGCAGCGCGGCGAGGTCTCGGTTCTTTTCCTTGGACAGGGCGTGGAGTCTGGGGATCCCGAAGCGCTGGGAGCGGAATCTGTTTATCGGGCTCGTTCAGAATGCGTTGCTCAGCGGGATTGACAGTTTTGTGGTGGCGGAGGCGGATGCGGACATTCTGGATCGTTGTCTTGCGGGTCTTGGGCGCGTCGCAACGCTGGGCAAGACAGCGTCTTGGGGGGGGGGCATGTGGCCACGATCACGAATGAAAGGTTCTTGTCGCACTGGGAGATTGTCTCCCGTTCGCTGGAACTTTTATTTCGGGGGGTGAAGCTGCGCCAGGCATGGGGTGCCCACCCGCAGGAACATCAACAAATATTGTGCGCGCTGTTCGGCACCTCCCCAATCGAGGGAGCCTCCGCACCGCTCTGGCGTGGGAGACCGACCGAGCATGCGTCGCCGTGGGCAAAACAGGTTGCCGCTGACTTTGACAGAGTGGCACGCTTGTTACCATGCGAGGTGATCCGAACGATTGCCGATGACCTCAATTTGCTACAGGACCCTGACATCTCAGAGGATTTCCAGAAGGTAGACGTGACGGAGGCTAGGGGCCAGCAGCTCACGATTTGCATTCCTCCCCCTGGGTTTGTAGCTCCTGAGGGCCCTGCACATTATGAGCCTGAGCACGTGGATATGGGGCGCCCCTACGGCTGCTTGGTGGACCTCGACGGGGGACCCTGTGGAGCCGCATTTCACACGCGCAGAGGTCTCTTGGAGCATCTTCGGCACTGTCACAATCTACGAAGCCTGGCCCATGTACCTACTCCGGCTAATGTGTGCATCCATTGTTTACAAATATTCAGTACGACCACCACGGCAACACGTCACTTGTATCAGGCTATCCAGAGGGGCTCGTGTATTACGTGTGGTCCCCGCTCCCTCTCGTCTATGATCTTACCATCCTCCTTCGAGTGCCCTGTTGTGGACTGTGAGTTCGTGGGGGAGGGTACCCATTCGTTGTGTCGTCATCTCCGAAACAATTTACCTGCCAAGATCGAACCTTTCATTCGTGCCGACGTTTCGCAAGATGCCCGAGGATTCTCCAATGTCGGCAAATGT